TGCCACACCCTCAGCCTGTCCCATTCTCCCCAGTGCCATCTCCGCAGTCCTCCCTGTCATCAGTCAGGCTCAGAAGCACCTCCTCGCTGGAGAAAGGGGAAGCCCAGAGCTTCTCAACCATCACTTAAGGGTTGGCTTCCCAGGCCTGCAGAACCTGGCTGAGGGGGCTAGGCCACAGCTGGGTGCCTGCGGGAGCTGGTAGCGACCCCAGCCCTCCCCGACCCCACTCCCCATCCAGGAACAGACAGTGTGACTCAGGGGTGAGGAGCCCCTGAGGGGCTGAGGGGGTGAGCACCCCCTCACTAGAAGAACAAGGCTCCTCAACCTGGCACATGTGCCTGGCTAGGGACGGAAGCGGAGGCCAGCCACCAGCCTGGGCAGCATAGCCAAGGCAGGCAGGGTGAGCTGCAGTGGCCGCTCAGCAAGAGACACTAAAGCACGCATCAGAAGATGGAGGATTGAGGCTGGGAGGGCGATGTGCCCAACATCCCGAGGTGGTTCCCAGGCTCAAATGCGGGCTCCTGTGGGAACTAAATGTCGGGTGGAGAGGACAAGTGGGCACGGGCGGCAGAGAGATGGGAGAGGACGGGGACAGGCACAGTTTTCCTCAGGAGAACCCAGTGCCTCTGGGAGGACCAGAGGCCAGAACGCATCTTCCCACCCAGGGCTCTGCGGCAGCTCTGCCTCGGTAGGCTGGTGCCTTCCCGGAACACCGCCTAACAGGGCTCTGTCCCTACAAGTCTCCCACCCCTGCCCTGCTGGACTCCTGTTTTTCACTCTCTGTTTCTATAGATGGTTTTCCCCCAGCAGGAGCTCCATGAGGTGGGGATCTGGCCCAGGCTGCATCTCCAGTGCCTGGGCAGCGCTTGGTCCCTGGGAGGCCGCAGCACTCTTTTTGCTGAGGAGGAGACATCCCTGGGCCACCACCAGCCCCCAGGAGGCCGCACTCCCCTGAATTCAAGTGACAAACACGTTTCAACCCAGAAGCCCGGAGAGGAGGAGGTTCAGGACAGCCCCCAAAATCCTGACAGCCCCCAAATCACCTGAATAACTCAGAGAGCCAGTCTTTTTCTCCACCTGTTTGAAGCCCCCATGCACAGACTCTCACTTCCAACTTGCAAACCCCTTCCTTCTAATACCAAGGGCCAGGGCTCAGATCCAAGCCTCTCCTCTGTGCGCTCTGATCTCCCCAGCCTGGGTTTGAGCACAGTGCCAGCCCTCACCAGCTGCGCATTCCTGGGCAGGCTGCTGACACCTTCCCCTGCTCGGGGCAGCAGTGTGAGCTGTGGATGGACTGCTGCTGGACCAGGTCGGTGATGGGGATCCTGGCCCCAGCCTCACAGCCCCTGCCCGCACCTGATAAAGGAGGGCAGGGCTATGCCACAGCCAGGGGAGCTGTCACCTGGAAGCAGTGCCTTCCAGCACCCAGTCCCTCCACAGCATGGCCTCCTGCTTGTAAACCCTGTGTGCAAAGGCTCGTCTCTCTGCAGCCGGGCGTGGTATAATTCCTCAACCCACAAGCACACCAGCGTGACAGGACACTTTGCTCTCCAGCCTGGCTCTGGTGGGGGTGGGGGGCTGGCCAGGCGCCTCTCAGTGCCTGGTCCGCTAGACAACGCTCCCCCACCAGGTGCCAACGCTGAGCCTTGAACTGGGGGAGGCAGCAGTCCACACAGCATCCACACTCTCCTATTTCCTAGCCTGGACCAGGCCTAGGTGGCTCCCGCCTGTTTCCCCCACCAGTAAGATAGACTGCTTTGCTCCAGGATTGCTCTGAGAGCCATGGAGACAGAGAACAGGAAGGACAATTCGGGACACAGCCTGAAAGGACCTTCAGCCTCAGGAGCAGGGGAAGGGGCAGGTGCAAACCCCACACCCAGGGCACTCTGTGTCATTACAGAGGACACGGCGACATCAGTTTCATGGCCTCAGAGGTCACTCACTGTCAGGTCTGGCCATGAAGGCTCTAGAGAGCCCCGGAGCTGGAAGGAGCTGGGCTGTGAGGAATCGTGTGGGGGCCCCGTCTGTTTACCCACAACCTGTCTCAAATGCCACCACGGCCACACACAAGCACGTGCACACACGGTACAGTGTGACTTCCCTACAGCACCACACGGTGCCTTCAGTGGGGCTGGGAACTTCCTGGCCGGTGTGTCCGGCTCATTCTGTCTCCCTTCCCCAGCTCCCCTCCCTCCTGCCGCCGCCCCCGCCCCCAGCTGCTCCTTCCATTTTTCTCTTCAGGCTGCTCTTCCCAGAGTCTTGCCTGTGGTCTCTGCAGTGCACACACTCCCATGTGGGGCCAAGGGCACCCCATTCCACCCCAGACTGCTCTTCTGAGGCCCGCGGCAAAACTCCCACTGCTCCGGAACAGCTCCACTGGCCCCTCCACAGCCATTGTCCCCTCCAAACCTTCCCCCAGAGTCAGCAGCAAAGAACTGTCATAGGCAAGAAGGCCCAGGCTGTGTCTCAGCTCTGCCAAGGGCTGGCAGAGAATTTTTAAATTCTCCAAGCCTCAGTTTCCTCAAATGGAGGTGGAGACAAAAGCCCCCACCTCAGCGATTTGGGGATGAAATAAATTCACACACACGCCAAGCCCCAGGCTCCTCCTCAGTCATGGGCAGCTGCGCCCCGGCCGACCTCAGGCTACCTTCATCCCCATTCAATGCCCTTCTTCCACCAGATGGCTCCTGCCTCTTCATGTTTAAAGCTAAACCTCCCCTCCATTCCACTGCCTCAAAGCTGGTCAGGCCTTGGCTGGTGCCCCCCAAGGTCTGAGGTCAGGCTCTGCACCAGCCTCCCTGCCTCCAGGCCTGTCCTCTCTCAGCCAACCTGCACTATGACAGTGACTCACCTAAAACGCCAACTCACGACTGAATTCCGCTACATCACCCCACGAGCGCCATCAGCGTCATCTACCTCCTTACGTATCTCACACTTTCCAGAAGTTAGAAAATAACCCCAGCTGGGCATGGCAGCTTATGCCTGGAATCCCAGCACTTTAGGAGGCTGAGGCAGGAAGACGACCTGAGCCTGGAAGCTCAAGACCGGCCTGGGCAACATAGTGAGAGCCCGTCTCTACAAAAAATTAAAAACTAGCAGGTCCTGGTGGTATGTGCCTGTAATCCCAGCTACTCGCAGGCTGAGGCAGGAGGATAGCTTCAGCCCAGGGTTTGGAAGCTGCAGTGAGCTATGACTGCACCACTGCACTCCAGCCTGGGGGACAGAGCAAGATCGTGTCTCTTCAAACAAGAAAAAGAAAATGGCCGGGCACGGTGGCTCACGCCTGTAATCCCAGCGCTTTGGGAGGCCGAGGCGGGTGGATCACGAGGTCAAGAGATCGAGACCATCCTGGTCAACATGGTGAAACCCCGTCTCTACTAAAAATACAAAAATTTAGCTGGGCATGGTGGCGCGTGCCTGAGGCGCAGTGGCTCATGCCTGCTAATCACAGCACTTTGGGAGGCTGAGGTGGGCGGATCACTTGAGGTCAGGAGTCCCAGACCAGCCTGGCCAACATGTGGAAAACCCATCTCTACTGAAAATACAAAACTTAGCCAGGTGTGGTGGTGTGCACCTGTAATCCCAGTTACTCAGGAGGCTGAGGTGGGAGAAATGGTTGAATCTGGGAGGCAGAGGTTGCAGTGAGCTGAGATTCTGACACTGCATTCCACCTTGGGTGACACAGCAGGATGCCATCTCAAAAAAAAAAAAAAAAAACCCTGCCACCTGTGGAGCTTCTAAAAACCTGAGAGCCAGGCTGCTAAATAGAATGGGCATGGGGGTCAGCTGTAGGTATTTTTAAGGATCTTTAAGGTGGGAGGATTGCTTGGGCCCAGGAGTTCAAGACTTTAGTGAGCTAAGTTAGTGCCACTGCACTCCAGCCTGGGCAACAGAGGGAGACCCTGTCTCAAAAAATGAAATGAAACAAATTAAAACCCAAAACAGTTCCAAGATGTAAGAGGTATGATTAGTACCACAAAGAAAAGGTGCTTCTTATTCAAGATAAGAGTAACTACAGCAGAAACAGGTCTATTAATGAAATGTTTCAAGCATTTCAGGACAAAAAAGTGACTCTGTAAATACAATGTAGGCTGGGTGAGGTGGCTCATGCCTGTAATCCCAGCACTCTGGGAGGCCGAGGCAGGTGGATCACAAGGTCAAGAGATCGAGACCATCCTGGCCAACATGTTGAAATCCCATCTCTACTAAAAAATACAAAAATTAGTTGGGTGTGGTGGCACGTGCCTGTAGTCCCAGCTATTCGGGAGGCTGAGGCAGGAGAATTGCCTGAACTGGGGAGACGGAGGTTGCAGTGAGCTGAGATGGAGCCACTGCACTCCAGCCTGGCGCCTGACAACAGACCGAGACTCTGTCTCAAAAAAAAAAAAAAAATGTGTGTGTGTGTGTGTGTGTGTGTGTGTGTATAAAATGCAATTCAGGCTGGGTGAGGTGGCTCACCCCTGTAATTGCAGCATTTTGGGAGGCCAAGGAGGGCAGATCACGAGATCAGGGGTTTGAGATCACGAGGTCAGGAGTTTGAGAACAGCCTGGCCAACATAGTGAAACCCCATCTCTACTAAAAATACAAAAACTTAGCCAGGCATGGTGTCGGGCACCTGTAATCCCAGCTACTTGGGGGGTTGAGGCAGAAGAATCGCTTAAATCCAGGAGGCAGAGGTTGCGGTAAGCCGAGATCACGCCATCGTACTCCAGCCTGGGCGACAGAGCGAGACTGTCTCATAAATAAATAGAATGCAATTCGATGCAAAAATTTTAAAGGTTGTGAAAAGGTCTGCACCTGGCACCCACGGTCATCAGATCCCACATCCCCAGAGAGCCAAAGGAGGGATGCCTGGGCTCACTCTGGGGTGACACCAATACCAGGAAAGAGGGACTGTTCCCCCAGGAGCCCGAGGATCCAGAGGGTGACAAGGCCCCACACCACAATTTCCTCCCCACCAGGTCCCTCGGGGCTGTGCAGCCCGAGAGCAGGCACCTACCTGCGAGGGCCTGCTGGACTCTGCTGGGCTTTGGCATCTGCACAGGCACGGTGGCAGGGACGCTCCCCGAGCTGCTCAAGGGACCGCTGGGGAAGGAGAAACTGGGGGAGAAAACAAAGCAGAGGTGACTTATCAGAAATGAGAGCGAGAGAAACACTGCATCACGGCCCCAGGGGGGGCTACTGGGGCACCTTGACGCTTTCATGTTCCTTGGCTGCCTCTCTGTGGAGGCTTTTGGTTTTGTTTTCCTGGGCAATTCAGAGACTCAGAGGGGTTTGGTGGCTCATACCTGTACTCCCAGCACTTTGGGAGGATGAGGTGGGAGGATCACTTGAAGCCAGAAGTTTGAGACCAGCCTGGGCAACATAGTGAGACTCCATTTCCACAAAAAATTTTTAAAATGAGCCATGTGTGATGATGTGCACCTGTACTTGGGAGGCTGAGGCAGAAGGATGGCTTGAGCCTAGGAGGTCAAGGCTGCAGTGACCCATGATCATATCACTGCACTCCAGCCTGAGCAACATAGTGAGACCTTATCTTAAAAAAAAAAAAAGGAAGACTCTGAAACAATCATTTCATACCTGTTGTGAAGAAAGAAAATAAAAAGAGAAAAAGACGTTTTGCACTCTGTCATCAAACTGCAGGCTCTCAGGCTGGGCACGGTGGCCACACCTGTAATCCCAGCACTTTGGGAGGCTGGGGAGGGTAGATCATGAGGTTAAGAGATCGAGACATCCTGGTCAACATGGTGAAACCCCGTCTCTACTAAAAAAAATACAAAAAATTAGCTGGGCATGGTGGTGCGTGCCTGTAATCCCAGCTACTCAGAAGGCTGAGGCGGTGAGAATTGCTTGAACCCAGGAGGTGGAGGTTGCAGTGAGCCAAGATCGCGCCATTGCACTCCAGCCTGGTAACAAGAGTGAAACTCCGTCTCGAAAAAAAAAAAAGTATCCTGGCTAACACAGTGAAACCCCCGTCTCTACTAAAAATACAAAAAATGAGCTGGGGGTGGTGGCACACAATGGCAATCCCAGCTACTCAGGAGGCTGAGGCAGGAGAATCACTTGAACCCGGGAGGCGGAGGTTGCAGCGAGCCAAGATCACACCACTGCACTCCAGCCTGGGCGATAGAGCGAGACTCCATCACACACACACACACACACACACACACACACACACACACCACACACAGAGGCAGGCTCTCATAGCACCTATGCAGAGAAACCTGGCAGAAACCATTTTAACAAATGATCATGACCATTATCACCAGTAACAGACAAGTCAATATCACAAACCCATGAGAAGATGCTCTGGGAGGAATGCAACACCATTTTGGGGGGATTTAATGTCAAAAATGAATTCTCTATCCTGGGCAACAGTCAAGATCCCATCTCTAAAAAATAACTAGCCAGGTGGCGTGGCAGGCACCTGTGGTCCCAGCTACTTGGGAGGCAGGCTGAGGCAGGAGGATCACTTGAGCCTGGGAGTTCACGGCTGCAGTGAGCTATGATCTCGCCACTGTACTCCAGCCTGGGCTGGAGACTCTGTCAAAAAGAAATAAATAATAAAGGGCATTATCTTTTGTCCAACGTGGGAAAATGTAAGACAAACTCAAATTGAGGGACGTTCAACAAAGCTCCCTCTTTGAAAGTAAGTAGGTAATGAAAGATGAGAGAGACTGTCCAACTGTTCCAGCCCAGAGGAGGGTGGGGAGGGTGAGAACTGGGAGCAAAGGGGGACCCAGGGTTGGACCCTGAGGCAGACGGGACAGTCGGGGGAAACCAGTGAAGAATCAAGAAGGAAACACTTAGGAGCATTTAATTTTCTGGTTCGACAACTGCACCGCAGTCATGAAAGATGTTATGTCAGAAGCAGCCAGGTGAGCAATGTGCGGAAATAACTATTTTTGTGACTTCTCTGGAAACCTAACTTCTACAGAAAAAAAAAAAAAAGCATTGTTTTTGGTTTGTTTTTTAACATGAGGGTTTTGCTCCGTACAATGACTATGTTCAAGTCACTCAATGGGTCTTCGTTCTTTTTTTTTGAGATGGAGTCTTGCTCTGTGGCCCGGGCTGGAGTGCAATGGCGCGATCTCGGCTCACCGCAACCTCCGCCTCCTGGGTTCAGGCAATTCTCCTGCCTCAGCCTCCTGAGTAGCTGGGGTTACAGACGTGCACCACTGTGCCTGGCTAATTTTTTTATTTTTAGTAGAGACGGGGTTTCACCATGTTGGTCACACTGGTCTCGAACTCCTGACCTGAGGAGGTGATCTGCCCACCTGGGCCTCCCAAAGTGCTGGGATTACAGGCATGAGTTGTGCCCAGCCACTCACTTGATCTTAAGTCATCCTATTTCTTTTTGTTTTAAAGGCAGGGGTATGTCGGCAGCGTGACAGTGGAAGCACGCTGCGCACAGAGCTGCTCGCTACAGTGCTGTGATCACACTTCTTTGCAGCTGCAACTTCCCGGGCTCGAGTGATCCTCCGGCCTTGGCCTCCCTAGTAGCCGGGACCACAGGTGTACACCACTATGTTCAACCAATTTTTAAGGGTTTTTGTTGCTGTTGTTGTTATTGTTTTGTAGAGAGCGGAGTCCTGCTATGATGCCCAGGCTGGTCTGAAATTCTTGCCCTGAAGTGTTTCTTCTGCCTTGTCCTCCCAAAGTGCTGGGATCACAGGTTTGAGCCATTGTACCTGGCCTAAGTCATCATTTTTAAAAAAATAACAAATACATGCCATGATGGTTTGGGAGGGAGCCCTGTACTGAGAACACTGGTGTAAACGGCTGAGACAGTGCCAGCTCCTCCCATCCATCCCCACCCACTTGAGATGATAAAATCTGAAGATGATGAAATACTCTCTCACAGACCCTACACTGGATCTCCCCAGGACAGGGCCCAGGTCAGACAAGGAGCAGGGAAGCTGCTCAGGACATGAGGGAGCTCAGGCTACTGTGCTGTCCTTACAGCTACCACAAAGCAGCTGCTGCCTGCCCACAGACAATGTCTTGGGACTGCCCAAGATCCTTCCCTACCACCTGCCCCACATCACAGATCATGCTGGTGGCAACTACAAGAAGCTGGCTAGTTCTCTTCCAAAGCAGGACACCTCACACCCAGCTGGGGCTGATGCGGCCAGTATTTGCCTGGGCAAAGAGAGGCACTCGAGTTTGGGGTGTTCTTGGGTTTTGTTTTAGAGACAAGTCTGCTCTGTCACCCAGGCTGGAGTGCAGTGGTGCAAACATAGCTCACTGTAGCCTCTACGTCCTGGGCTCAAGTGATCCTTCCAACTCAGCTTCCTGAGTAGCTGGGACTAGAGGTCAGCACCACCACACTTGGCTAATTTCTTTTATATATATATAGAGACAGAATCCTGCTATGTTGTCCAGGCTGGTCTGAAACTCCTGGCCTCAAGAAATCCTCCCACCTCAGCCTCCCAAAGCGCTGGGATTGTGGGCATGAGCCACCGTGCACGGCCTGCTTGAGTCTGTTTACTGGCTGTTCTCAAACAGGACTGCCTGTGTGGCCGTGCTAAGCAAACAGCCGATTCTTGCTCTCCTCAGGTAGCCCCGTCCAAAGGCAAGGCTGGCAGTGGATCTGAGGGCCCTGACAATGCCAAGAAGGGCAGGCAGGGAGTCAGGATACCTGGGTCAAGGTCCTGGCTCTCCTTAACACTCAGTTTCATTCATTTGGAGCAGGCCCCTCCTTTTCCTCAGCCTGTTTCAACTTTTCTCTTTATTTTTTTCTTCGGAGTCTTGCTCTGTCACCCAGGCTGGAACGCAGTGGTCTGATCTCAGCTGACTGCAACCTCTCTGTCTCCTAGGCTCAAGCGATTCTCCTGCCCCAGCCTCCCAAGTAGCTGGGATTACTGCCGTGTGCCACCACAGCCCGCTAATTTTTGTATTTTTTGTAGAGATGAGGTTTCACCATGTTGGCCAGGCTGGTCTCTAACTCCTGACTTCAAGTGATCCACCTGCCTTGGCCTCCCAAAGTGCTGGGATTACAGGTGTGAGCCACTGTGCCCAGCATTTTTTTTTTTTTTTTTTTTTTTTTAAAAGGAAAGTAGATCATCTCTGATGGTCTCTGAAACTCTTAAGTTTCTGTAATTGAAGGCATTCACTTACACTCAGGGCAGCACTGAGCTCAAGCCCTTAGCTGGAACCCAAAAAGCTGAAGCTTGGCACTGCAAGCCCATGGTGCCCCCCTAGAGATGAGGTACCTGGCTGCTCCACCCCGCAGAAAAACCCCAGTAAGTGGGGTCTCCCTTCACCAGGGAGTGGCACATATCTGAATGAGAAGGCCTGCTTCTAGGTTCCACCACCAAGGACTAGAGCAGGAAGCAGCGGCAGCAGCACGGGGAGGGAGGCTTCCAATGGGCTCTCACCGTGCGGCTGGAGGGCAGCAACCAGGAGTCTAAAAATATCCCCCCCGTCCCCATATGATCACAGTTCCTCCCCCACATGTGTCCCTGCCATGACCTCTAGGAACTGAACCATACAAGGATCCAGAGGTTCCCAAGATGGGGGCCCCTGGGGTGGACGGAACCTCAGAGGTTATCAGTCACTCTCCCCATCCTCAGAGGGCTCAGACCTGCAGAATGTTCCCAGATGGGGGCACCACTCGCTTCCTGAAGTGTCCTCTGAGAATTCCCAATAGTCATGGCCTCAGGCACCCTCCTGGTCTAGCTATTAGGCCCTCCCTAGCTTTCCTGTCTGGGACCATCTCCAGGAGCTCCCAAACACAGCAGGAGACATGAGACACGAGGACTTTTGAGCTTTCTTTCTTTTGAGATGGAGTCTTGCTCTGTTGCCAGGCTGGAATACAGTGGCGTCATCTCGGCTCAGTGCAACCTCTGCCCACCGGGTTCAAGAGATTCTCCTGCCTCAGCCTCCCAAGTAGCTGGGATTACAGGCATGCGCCACCACTACTGCCTAATTGTTGTATTTAAGTAGAGACGGGGCTTTGCCATGTTGGCCAGGATGGTCTCAATCTCTTGACCCTGTGATCCTCCTGCCTCGGCCTCCCAAAGTGCTGGGATTACAGGTGTGAGCCATCGCGCCCGGCCCGATTTTGAGCTTTCTATGCAGGGCGAGAGGCAAAGCCAGGAGGCTGGAGACTAAGGAGATCCAAAGCACTCTCCAAGTCTACACTCTGAGACGGGCTGGCAGCCAGCCCCGGCCTGGGACTCAGGAGCATGAGATGTGGAGGCCGGAGACGATGCTAGAAGCTTATGCTCCCACTCAAAGCCGTGTGTCCTGGGCATGTCAAGTCCCCTTCCCGAGCCTCAATTTCTCTACCAATGAGGATGATTCCCAAAGGATGCCAGAGTAGTAGTGAGGCCTAGGACAAATATCCATGGGGTCCAGGTCTTGGGGGAGCAGAGGGAAGTAGAGCCAGGCACTAAGGGCCACCAGGCACTTTCCTATAGGGCCCTAATTACATCCTGAAAACCACAGCAATAATAGAGCAGAAGGCAACCTCAGAAACTGACCAGTTCAACCCTCCCTCAGCTAAAAAGAAGCAGAGGCAGGGCGTCGTGGCTCACACTTGTAATCCCAGTGCTCTGGGAGGCCAAGAGTTTGGGACCCGCCTGGGCAATAGTGAGACACAATCTCTACAAAAAATTTAAAAATTAGCTGGGCGCAGTGGCACAAGCCTGTAGTCCTGGCCACTCAGGAGGCTGAGGCAGTAGGATTCCTTGAGCCCAGGAGTTTGAGGCTGCAATGAGCCATAATCACTGCACTCTGGCCTGGGTGACAGGGGAGACCCTGTCTCTAAAAAGAAGAAGAAAATAGACAGAAGAAAAGAGACCCAGGGCCTATGACAAGTCAGGAGCAAGGCCCCATTGGGCCCCGTGACTCCAACCCTCCAACCCCGCAAGTCAAAAGACAGGCGACAGACAGCAGAAGAAGAGGAAATGAGTTCTTTTAGAGGCAAGAGTAGCAGCAGCCACCACAGCAGGAAGCCATCGAGAGCTGAAGGCCATTTTGTAGGGCCACCAAGCCATTCAGCACAGAGCCAAACGCCCAAACACCCACAGGTTTCACCTGGCTGAGCTGTGACAGGCTGCTGATTATGATCACCACCCCAAGCCATCCAAGTGCTAAGCAGTGTCACACCCTCTCCATTAAGGAAGACAAGAGCATGCATGACACATTTAAGAAAGATTTCCACCCAACATCATTCAAACACAAGTTTTGATGCTTAAAGGGATCAACTTCAGCTACCAGGAAATATACTTACACCCAGCAGCTCAGCCCCCGATGACACACTTCCTTGTGTCACTGCCTATTCCCAGGGGGCTCAAAGAAGTTGTGCACATGAGTTCCAGGAAATGTTTCAATTGCACTGGCTTGCAGTGGCTGCCAGTCAAAAGTCGGTCCTCTGGTTTCCCCGCCCCTGGTGCTGGCTCCAGACGCCCCACCTGCCCTGCCTGCCCCCTCACTTCCAAAGTAACTTTCACCTAATGCTGTTGACACACACTTGGCTGTGAGTTACCACCTGCTGGGTTAACAGGTCCGGTATTTACTAAGCCCAGCGTCTGGCTCTACACCCATCAGAACAGGGTTAACTGCAGAGGGCCTCACTACAAATTAGGCAGGGGAAAAAGCCTGTTTGTCAGCACGTGGATAGGTCCGGGCAGGTGAATTACACCTCTCCCAGCTCCAGAAAAACCAAAGGAATCAGGATATACCTACACCTACCCCAGGAGGCAGGCTCCTTTTAGGCTGTTTCCACTAACAGAGCCGGCTGGCCTGGTTCCCTCCTGGCTTACAACGTGGGGCAAGCTGCAGCATGCCCAGCCCAGCACCAAGGGAAGACTGTCTGGCCCAGGCACCTTCTTTCCCGTAACTTGCCTGGCCCACACCAGCACTTCTGCAGGCCCTCAGGCTGGGAACAGCGACCCCAGAGAAATACTGGGGGAGACAGAAATGGTTTAGGGAAGACCGACGGGGCCGGCTACCAGAGAAAGGAACAAAGCCACATGAAGTCACTTGACTTAACTCCCGAATCCCAGCTCCAGCACTATCCAAAATAATTCCTAAGAACTTAAGACGCTCCAGGAGGCTGGGTGGAACAGAGCTGACAGAAGTCCCAGTGCCACTAAAAACCCTCCTGGGCCAGCAGATAGAGCACACTGTTCTCTGAAACAGACTGACCCAGATACTCACGGTGGGAAGCTGCCCAGGAAAACTCTGACCCACCCAAAGCCCAGCACCCTCCCATCTACTGGCCTCCTCCTAGCTCATCCCTCAAGAGGCCTTTTGGTCCAGGCGTGGTGGCTCACGCCTGTAATCTCAGCACTTTGGAAGGCTGAGGCAAGAGGACTGCTTGAGGCCAGGAATTCAAGACTAGCCTGAACCACACAGCAAGACTTTGCCGCCACATAAAATTGAAAAATTAGCCAGGTGTGGTAGTGTGCACCTGTGGTCTCAGCTACTCAGGAGGCTGAGGCAGGAGGATCACTTGAGCACAGGAGTTTGAGCCTGCAGTGAACCACGATTGCACCACTGTGGAATAATATTCCAGCCTGGGCAACAGGGCAAAACCCTATCTCTAAAAATAGTAATAAATAGGCCGGGAGTGGTGGCTCAAGCCTGTAATCCCAGCGAGGCAGGTGGATCAGGAGGTCAAGAGATCGAGACCATCCTGGTCAACATGGTGAAACCCTGTCTCTACTAAAAATACAAAAAATTAGCTGGGCATGGTGGCATGTGCCTGTAATCCAGCTACTCAGGAGGCTGAGGCAGGAGAATTGCCTGAACCCAGGAAGCGGAGGTTGCGGTGAGCCGAGATCGTGCCATTGCACTCCAGCCTGGGTAACAAGAGCGAAACTCCGTCTCAAAAAAAAAAAAAATAGTAATAAATAAAATTAAGATGTATTAAAAGAGCCCCCAGCCAGGCTCAGTGACTCATGCCTGTAATCCCAGCACTTTGGGAGGCCGGCGGGCCAATCACCTGAGGTTGAGAGTTTGAGACCAACCTGACCAACATGGAGAAACCCCATTTCTACTAAAAATACAAAAATTGACCAGGCATGGTGGTGCATGCCTATAATCCCAGCTACTTGGGAGGCTGAGGCAAGAGAGTTGCTTGAACCCAGGAGGTGGAGATTGTGGTGAGCCGAGATCGCACCATTGCACTCCAGTCTGGGCTACAAGGGTGAGACTCCGTCTCAAAAAAAAAAAAAGAGCCCCCATGTGCCCCACACAGCCTACTCTTGAGGCCTGGGCTGAATCTTGCTGGCTGTGTCACTAACCTCATGGGCCTCGATGTGTTCCCCTGTAAGTGAGAGCGTTGTGGGGTGAGTGAGGTCACTCAGGCAGCCTGCTCAGGAGGGCCTGCCGCATGACACGAACCAATGAGTGGGAGGCACCTCACTGTGTCTTACACAAGCTGGCAGGGTCCTCAAAAACCCAGCCTGAAAAAATACTAGAGGTCTAAGAAGCTGCCAAGGAGGACTCAACCACCCTGGGAAGTTGCAGCCCTCAACGTGGGTGTGGTGGGCAGGGGTGGACTGGTGAGCAGGGAGGCAGCAGGATTCTGACCAGGGCCAGTACAGAGAAAAAAGATGCTCTCCTCCCTGGGACCAGGGCGGCCCCTCACCCACACATTCCCTCACCACCCCAACTAGGACACACTCAGAAAGCCCTGTCCCTCTACCACTCTGGATTCTCAAAATGTGCTCCAAGCCCAACACTCTCAATAATGAATGACGAATCCCCAAGTCATCCAGACAGTCAGAGGGCAAGGCCAGCCCGGAGCATTCACCTTAGCCAAAAACAGGGGGTTCCTGGTTTTATCATCTTTTTTCTTTTCTTTTTTTTTTTGAGACGGAGTTTCTCTCTCTTGTTGCCCAGGCTGGAGTGCAGTGGTGCAATCTTGGCTCACGGCAACCTCCACCTCCCAGGTTCAAGTGATTCTCCTGTCTCAGCCTCCCAAGTAGCCGGGATTACAGGCGCCCAGCATAATGCCTAATTTTTGTATTTTTAGTAGAGACACGGTTTCACCATGTTGGCTAGGCTGGTCACGAACCCCTGACCTCAGGTGATCTGCCCACCTCAGCTTCCCAAAGTGCTGGCATTGCAGGCGTCAGCCACCGCACCTGGTGTTTTGTTTGTGTTTTTGTTTTTATGACAAGGTCTCACTCTGTCGCCTAGGGGCTGGAGTGCAGTGGCACAATCACAGCTCACTGCAGCCACAACCTCCTGGGCTCAAGCAGTCCTCCGGCCTCAGCCTACTGAGTAGCTGGGATTACCGGTGTGCACCACCATGCCTGGCTAATTTTTAAACTGTTTCTTTTGTGGAGATGGGGTCTTGCTATGTTGCTCAGGCTGATTTCTGACTCTTGGGCTCAAATGATCCTCCTGCCTTGGCCTCCCAAACTGTTGGCATTACAGGTGTCAGCCCCTGTGCCTGGCCAATCTCCTCACTTTAAATGCCACCTGCCCTGGTCTGCACTGGGCCCATGGTATTATTATCTCCCTCTCAAGGAGCTGAGAGCTCTACCAGACACTCTGGTTTGGGCTGCATCAGCATGGGGGCCAGGTCACCCGTGCCACCTACAGCCACTGCCACATGCTCCACATTCTGCTGTCCCTCACACCACACTGACAGCCCCTGCACTAAACTGGGGCTCAGGGGTAAGGGTTGGTGCTCTGGTCTCTGCACCTTCATGGCCTGGCACAAGTCAGTGCACAGGCAGTGACCCGGTGTCCTCGGGCCCAGCACTCGCCATGCAGCTGGCGAGCGGGGTACACAGGCCTTTAACTCTGTTCCACATGGAGGACCCTACCATCGTGAGTGAAAAGACTGCAGGTTCTAACCCATACAGCGACCAGCAGGACTCAAGTACAAGAGGTCAGGTAGGCTCTGGACAGCCATGGCACGTCGGCACCCACATGGCACGTGCGAATGAGATGCCATGGCAAGGACCACCCAGGGGGCTGGAGCCCCACCTGCAGGAATTGGGGTGAGTCTTCCCAGCTAAGTAAGAGTGGAAACACAGGGCAGACAAGACAGGAAGCAGTCACCCACAATACCTGACTGCACTGGAGGTGGACGATCCTGGGGGCAGGAACTGTGGTCCCAGGTGGGAGAGGCTGGAGCGGTAGAGGGGCTGGCTCCCCAGAGAGGGAGGGGCTGCGCTCCAGGGGCTGGTGGTGTTCAGCCTGGGCGCAGACCGGGCCCCGGAGAGTGAGGGTTTGTTGTACGGCGTGAAGGCCTGGTGCGTCCCAAACGCAAAAGTGGTCCTGTGCGGGTGGTGCTGGGGGGCGGGGTATGCAGGGAGGCTGGTCATGGAGTGGCGGTAGCGGCCTGACACGGGGCCAGTCCCACTGCCGCTGAGGCACTGGTGGCAAGAGCAGGCGACGCCCGTGTGGCCCGGCGGAGCAATGATGGTGGTCACCGGGTAAGGGGGCCCTGCTTGGCGCCGCACACTGCGGCAGAAGCTGGAAGTCTTGTTGGTCTGTGTGTGGGTGGTGTAGTTGACGGTGTAGTTGTACCCCAGGGGGGCCAAGTCCACGAGCTGGTTGCCCCTGGCCACCTGCTGCTCCAGATAGTCACAGACGCTGGCTTCGTAGGCAGTCCAGGAGCCATCGTCACTCAGCCACTCCCAGACGACACCTCGGCCAGGGGCTGAGTGCTGGGGGAAGAGGTGTCTCCGCACCGCCCGCATGGTGCCTGTTTTCAAAGGAAAACGAAAGGTTAGTCTGCTAGCACTCCCAGAACACATGGAATGACCAAATTCTTTTTCTTTCTCTTTTTTTTTTGAGAGAGTTTTACTCTTAATTTTTTTTTTAATTATTATTTTATTTTTTAAGAGACGGGGTCTCACTATGTTGCCCAGGCTGGAGTGCAGTGGCTATTCACAGGCGTGATCCCACTACTGATCAGCACGGGAGTTTTGACCTGCTCTGTTTCCGACCTGGGCCGATTCACCCATCCTTAGGCAACCTGGTGGTCCCTGGCTCCCAGGAGGTCACCATATTGATGCCGAACTTAGTGCAGACACCGATCGGCATAGCGCACTACAGCCCTGAACTCCTGGGCTCAAGTGATCCTCCCACCTCAGCCTCCTGAGTAGCTGGGACTACGGGCAGGTGCCATCGTGCCCGGCTCGAGTTTTACTCTTGTTGCCCAGGCTGGAGTGCAATGGCGCGATCTCAGCTCACTGCAACCTCTCCCTCCTGGGTTCAAGAGATTCTCATGCCTCAGCCTCCCAAGTAGCTGGGACTACAGGCATGCGCCACCATGCCCAACTTCAAATTCTCTTTTCAACAGCCAACATAAGCAAATAGGAACACAGTAGGTACACAGTCACGCTGCTATTTGTTGATTTATTTATTTTTAGAGACAGGGTCACCCTTTGTCACCCAGGCTGCAGTGCAGTGATGTGATCATAGTTCACTGCCACCCTGACCTCCTGGGCTCAAGCAATCCTCCTGCCTTAGCCTCCCAAATAGCTGGGACTATGGGCACATACCCCTACACCCAGCTAACTTCAAATCAGCCTCTACAACACCTGCCACTTTCATTCCCCAATCAGCACTCCCTGCTCTCCAGCACAATATACAATTTTCGCGTTATTATTTAGCCTGTCTGCTATCTTTCTCAGTTGACTTCACACACCACGAAGGCGAGGACGTGGGGTCTGACTGACAGTCAGTTTCACAGTTTTCTCTAGACACTCCTGACAAAGAGTAACACAGTTTCCAGGGCTGGGCGTGGTGGCTTAAGCCTGTAATCCCAACACTCTCGGAGGCCAAAGCAGGAGGATCACGAGCTCAGGAGCTGAAGACCAGCCTGGGCAACATGGGGAGACAGGGAGACCCTGTCTCTACAAAAATCAAAGCATAACAAAACAAATACCCCGAAGAAAACCTGTTCTTAAAATTAAGATTGAAAACAACAACAACAAAAAAAAAAAACAGTTTCTCAGGTCTAAGCACTGTAACACTCTGGGCCAGTAATTCCTTATTGCAGGGCCTTGTGGGCCGCAGGATGGCGAGCAGCCTCCCCGGCCTCCACCCACCAGATGCCAGGAGCACCCCCACCTCCCACCCGCTCAGCTGTGACAACCAACAATGTCTCCAAACATTGTCAGCAGATGGCCCTGTGGACAAATCATCCCCAGTGACAACCATCAGATTAGAGGAAGGGACGGCTCTAAGAGAAAACTGTGGCCTCATTCTCAATAATACTGATCAAAACACACTGCAGGTTCAGGTGCGGTGGTTCACGCCTGTAATCCCAGCACTTTGGGAGGCTGAGGCGGGAGGATCACCTGAGGTCAGGAGTTCGAGACCAGCATGGCCAACATGGAGAAACCCCAACTCTACTAAAAATACAAAATTAGCCAGGTGTGGTGGCACATGCTTGCAATCACAGCTACTTGGGAGGCTGAGGCAGGAGAATTGCTTGAATCCGGGAAGTTGTAGCGAGCTGAGATTGCGCCACTGCACTCCAGCCTGGCGCCTGGTGACAGAGCGAGACTCTGTCTCAAAAAAAAAAAAAATTAGCCAGGTGTGGTAGTGTACGCCCGTAATCCTAGAGAGGCTGAGGCAGGAGAATCACTTGAACCTGGCAGGCAGGGGTTGCAATGCCAAGATCATGCCACTACATTCCAGCATGGGCGAGAGTGAGACTACCTCTCAGAAAGAAAAAAAAAAGATCAAAACTCATCGCAGACCAAAAAGCAGAAAAGCACACATGCAGAGGGATGCAGTGGCCTGCCCAGGGCACACAGCCATTGGGCATTGGGGCAGGGCCCTCTGAATTCTCACGGTGCACCACCTCCATGCTGGTCTGCCTGCCAAAGAGACCCTGCAACCTCTGCATTGGGGCAGGCATCTCTGCTTTGGAAGACATGGGGAAGGGACTCCCACAGCACCTCTCCCACTGTGAGCTGCACTCAATCAAGGTGGGAGAGGTTCCCAATCACAGCGCCCACCCACCAGGTGTGCTGCAGAGATAGGGAAGAAGCTCTGTAGGTCACATCCACTACCCCAACAGCTAGCACAGAGGCTGTGGGAAAGGAGGTGCGGCGCCCAAGTATCTGTGAGAGGCAGACAGTGTCTTACCGGTATCCTGGCGGAACTGGGTCCAGCTGGGGAGGTCGATGATGTAAGGAGCCAGCGAGGGGTCTGCCTGGCCCAAGGGGATGCTGTGGGCCAGGCTCCCGAGCCCGAAGCGCTGTCCCTTCTGCTGGACAAACTGCTGCTCGATGAAGCTGCAGACAGCGGCGCTGTAAGGGTGCCAGGTGCCCAGCCCATCCTGCCACTCCCACACGGCCACAGCCACGGGGCCAGTGTACACCTGCACCAGGGAAGGGCCTGGGGCCATGGCCATCTTCCCAAGGAGTCCTGCTGCTTTCCCAAACGGCTTCAGACTCCTCTGGCCTGGAGTCCCGGGGTCATTGCCCGGTGCCTCCGGCGGTTCTGTGAACAGGACAGACATGTAGTTACCAATGCACATCAGTAGCCCTGCATCAGGCTCAGTGCAGGGGAAAACAGGTTTTTCCAAAGCTAATTTTTTTTTGGATGTAGAATCTCACTCTGGGTACAGAGTCACTGGGTACAGAGTGAGATCCTATATCCAAAAAAAAAAATTTGAGACTGAGGGTCTCAGTCACCCAGGCTGGAGTGCAGCAGTGCGATCTTGGCTCCCGGCAGCCTCAAACCCCAGGCTCAAACAATCCTCACACCTCAGCCTCCAGAGCAGCTGGAACAACAGGCATTTGCCACCACACCCAGCTGACTTTTTTACTTTTCATAGAGACAATGTCTGTGGCCCAGGCTGGCCTCAAACTCCTAGCCTCAGGGATCTTCTCGCCTCAACCTTCTCAAGTGCTGGGATCACAGGCGTGAGCCCCCCCTCCTGGTCTCAAGGCTGCTTTTCCTCCCCTAACACCTTAAGGGCATCATGAATCAAGTACCTGATCCTGCCTCTCTGCTCTGGCAGCCAGGAAGAGTCCAGAGTCAATCCTGCAGCCTACCTATCTCTGCACAGGCCCCGGAAGAAAGAGCAGTAGAAATTCTGGGTGCTAGTCACCAGCCCAGCGTTTTTCTTGCTCCTGGTAATTCCCCTCTGACCCAACTGCTAAGTATATCATTTCATCCTGCATGGTGGTTTTTTTTTTTTTTTTTGAGACAGAGTTTCACTCTTGTCACCCAGGTTGGAGTGCAATAGGGCAATCTCAGCTCACTACAACCTCCGCCTCCTGGATGGGTTCAAATGATTCTCCTGCCTCAGCCTCCTGAGTAGCTGGGACTACAGGCTCATACCACCACACCTGGCTAAATTTGGTATTTTTAGTAGAGACGAGGTTTCACCATGTTGGCCAGGCTGGTCTCAAATTCCTGACCTCAGGTGATCCACCCACCTCAGCCTCCCTATTAGCACCCCCCGTGCTGAAGATGAGAACCCGTCATGTCTTGGAAAGACGCAGAGGTTTTGGGACACCCATGAGGCAGAGGTAGAGCTGGGACCTGCAACACAGGTGCCAGCTCCTCATGTCTCCAGGGTGCCCTGGAAGTATCATTGACCACAAAGGAAGCCCTAGATGGACACCCAATCACCCCCTCTGGCCTCTCGAAGGCTCTCTGCACCCATTTCCCTGCCTGGCTCCTGCTGACCAGCCACCAGGCCCAGGGAGCTCTTCCCCACATCCTGAGCTCCCCACCTCCTGAGACCTTCTCCTCCCAGTCACTCCAGGCCACCCCCTTCCCTTGTGAACACTCCACATCCTCCAGTCCCAGCTTGAGTCACTCAGGATGACCCATCACATGCCCTCTGCCCCTTCCACAGCACCAACCAGAACCCTAGTGACTGCGTCCACACGTGACTGTGACTACGGTCTTTCTGCCCCTCCCCAGGTGGCAGCAACCCCAAGCCTGCCTTGTTCACAGCTGCAATGCCAGCACCCAGCAGGGACATGCCATGTGGTGAGTGTTCTAGAATGTTCTATACACTGCCTCAGAATGACAGAGTGAATGTGGACAATGATTCCACTCAGTACCTGCAGCTGTGTGAATGAGAAGAGGCCTGCAAATGCCCCACATGGTGGCCACCCTCAGGCCACCGGCTGTTGGAGTGCAAGAAAAGGGTCCAACATCAAATGGACTTGTCTCCTGTAAGCTGCACAGACTGACAAGGTGATGCTTCTCCCACTTATGGACAGGAAACTAAGGCTAAAAGAGGTTGAGGGGACTGGGTGTAGTGGCTCACACCTATAATGCCAGTGTTTAGGGAGGCTGGGACAGGAGGGTCGCTTGAGCCCAGGAGTTTGAGGCTAGCCTGGGCAACATAGTCAGATCTCATCTCTGTAGAAAATTTAAAAATTAGCCAAGTGCAGAGGCACACCTAATAGTCCCAGCTACTCGAGAGGCTGAGGCAGAAGGATGGTTTTAGCCCAGGAGTTGGAGGCTGCAGTAAGCCATAATCCCCAGGCACTCCAGCCTGGGTGACAGAGGTCTCGCCTCTAAAAAAACAAAAAAAATCTAAGATGATACAGCAAGTGTGTGCATGCCGATGCCAGAGCCCATGACTGCTTCTTCTCAGAGGCGGCTCCAGATCGGTCCCCCTTCCAGGGCAGGTGGTCTGACCCTCACTGAAACCTTGATGGGGTGGTGCAGTCTGGGACCACAGCAGAAGCCCAGGGTTCCAGTCTTATGAGCCATGCGACTATGAGAACGTCACTGTAACTATCTGGGTGTCAGTCTCCTCACTGGCAAAACCGGGATAAAACATGATGTGTGTGCTTGAGGGGACCAGATTGTATCAGTGGGGGCCCTACTGGCCAGGGTCCCGCATGGGCATGTTGTCACAATGAGTGTGTGCAGTGCTCCAGAGAGGCCAGTCCTTCTCTCCTTTCCTTTTCCCCCTCTTTCAGCAGGGCCAGTAAGTGAAGCCCAAGGGGAAGTTCACACTGAGCCTTCCTTGATAAGGAAATGGGCCTTAGAGCCAGACTGACCTGGGTATGCTCTCTGTGCTGCCTCTTAGTGTATGTGTGATCTTGAGTGAACAACTCAAGATCACACATATACTACTTAATAAAAGGTGACCTTTATTTATTTTTTAGAGTCCAAGTCTCGCTCCGTCACCCAGGCGGCTAGAGTGCAGTGGCATGATCACCACTCACTGCAGCCTCACAACCTCCTGAGTTAAAGCCGTCCTCCTGCCTCAGCCTCCCGAGTAGCTGGGATTACAGGCATGTGCCACCACACTCAACTGATCTCTTAATTTTTTGTAGAGACAGGGGTCTCACTCTGTCACCCAGCTGAGACTAGACATGCGCTGCCATGTCTGGCTGTTGAATCATCTTGATGGAAGTATCTAAGCTCTCCAAACTTGCTTTCTTTGGGAAAATGGAGTTAACAACATGTATCCTAAGTGCTTTTCATGGGGATTAGACAGGCAGGTGTGTGTAAGGTGCTCACACGCAGCACCAGGCATACAGCAGAGTCAGCCCACTGTGGCCTCCCTGCCTCTCCTGGCCCCTCACCCCCAGCACCTGCCCACCCTTTCCGTCTCAGGGAGGAATGGCCGCAAGGGAGGCCCTGAGTACATAGCATGAGAATACAGGTGAGTCAGGCCTGCAACAACTCCGAACACACCTGTGGGTGCCAGGCCCGCCACAGAGCTGCCAATTCCTCCAACAAAAGCCCACAACCCAACCCAAAGGATCAGACCTGGGGTGCCGTCGGGCAGGCGGGTAAGAGGGCTCAGCTCAGTGTCTTCAATTAGAAGTGTCTGTAACCACAATGAGGTACAAATCAGAGGACTACCTTCCAAGCAATTACTCCTGGGTGTCACTCATCTCTCCGGCACCCAGGGCTGCCTCCATCATCGGCACACGGGGTATGTCCCAACATGTCCTCACGGCCAGGATGAACCAACTCTCTCAACTCTGCAGAACAGCCTGGGAAATACAGGCGAGAACTTCAGCAAAAACCTTCCACGAAGGCATGCAGCCTCCCCAATGGAGGGGGTGCCACGGCCCAAGCCCTAGAAGGGTATTGGAGACTCCAGAGGAGGAGTACCAGGCACACAAGCCCCTCCATGACCAGCCACTGTTCCTACTCACACCAAGCCCTCCACCATTGATACCTTATATCCAGTCATATCTAATTCTAGAAAGTTCCAGAACATTCCAAGAGACTTACCGCCTCCTAGCAATTTGATCCTTCCTCTATACCAGCTCCCAAGCAAACACACCCATCCTTCCAGACCCACCATGGCGTCCCCTCTCCTGGGCCCTCTGACCAGCACCCTCGCCAGAGTGGGCTGGCTCCACCTGCTCTTGGCACAGGCCACTTACGCAAGCACAGCTGCACTCCCTGGTTTCAGTGGCCTTCTCCCCAGCAAAACAGAAACTCCCTGAGGGCAGAGCTGGGGCTGCAGCTCTTCAGGTGCCCAATATCCCAGAGGCTCAGAAACACCAAAGGAGAGGTGAACCTTCTGCTCTGAGGGCACAGGCGCCTTTGAGCCACTGCCCAGAAACACCCACTGCGTTCCCCTTGAACCCAGCAATTATACACAACACAGCAGCATGCCGGTGCAGCAGGCTCTGCAGCAGCCTCGGCTCAGCCATTACTTAGCTGAAGTTCAAAAACCTAATTTGCTTCAGCTCCTAATGATGTGGGTGATTTAGGATGTTCTTCATTATGAAAATTATTAGTATTATAATTAGCCTTGGGAAAAAGCCTCAATTTGGAGACAGCCTAAACACTTTACAATAAGGGAATTCTTACACCAATTATGGAACATTCTAATGATGGAATACAAATCAGTCTTAAAAAATGAAAGAAAGGGCTGGGTGCAGTGGCTCATGCTTGTAATCCCAGCACTTTGGGAGGCCAAGGCGGGCAGATCGCTTGAGCCCAGGAATATGAGACCAGCCTGGCCAACACGGCAAAACCGCATCTTTACAAAAAAAAAAAAAATACAAAAATTAGCCATGTGTGGTGGTGCGTGCCTGTAGTATCAGCTACTCAGGAGGCTGAGGTGGGAGGATTGCTTGAGCCCTGGAGGTTGAGGCTGCAGTGAGCTGTGACTACACTACTGCATTCCAGCACAGGTAACAGAAAGAGACCAGTCTCATAAAAATAAATAATTAAAAATTAAAAGTCTAGAAAGAACAACACTAAAACATCACTAGAATTAAAGAATTATGGGGTATTTCTTCTTTTTTTTTCTTTCTGAGATGGAGTCTTGCTCTGTTGCCCAGGCAGGAGCACAGGGATGCGACCTCAGCTCACTGTAACCTCCACCTCCCAGGTTCAAGCAGTTCTCCCACCTCGGCCTCCCAAGTAGCTGGGACTACAGGCACGCACCACCACACCCCGCTAATTTTTGTATTTTTAGTAGAGACGGGGTATCACCACATTGGACAGGCTGGTCTCGAACTCCCGACCTCAAGTGATCCGCCCACCTTGGC